GCCCTCTCTTCCTCCTCCTCCTCCTCTTCTTTATTTTGCTCCTTCTTCTAGGCTGTTTTTGTTTTGTTGCGAAAAGAAAAACAAAAAGAGAAAAGGCTCTCGATCTCAATTAGGAGAAAGAGGCCAAAAAAAAAAAAAAAAGCTGCTGTTGCTTGCCGCGGACTGACTGGTTTCCTTAAAAATATATTCTTTTCAAGGAAAAAAATCTCCTAGACTTCTTCAGACTGCTTGGCCGCTTGGCCTTCCAAATGTCTTCTTGAACTTCAGCCGGATTTTGCACCGGCTCCTTACACTTTCCTTCAGGGGCTGGTAGGTGGAGAGCGCACTTCTACCAGGAGGAGAAAAAAGAAAGAAAAAAAAAAAAACAAAGCAAAAAATAATAATAATGAAAGAAGAAAAAGAGAAGGAAAAAAAGCAAAGAAAACTTGGGGACTTGTCTCGTACCCCCTCACCCCGCCCCCTCAAAAACCCCAAAGCAATGTAAAACTGCCCCAATTCGGTGGTTTCTGGGCTTTCTGCGGGCTGCCTGGTTTTTTTTTTTGTTTTTTTTTTTGGTTTTTTTTTCTTGGAGACTGACCCTTCGGAGGCTCTGGGGGGACTCCAGGAGCGGCTCCTTCCCAGTTCACCTGGCAGGCTGGCGCCGGCCGGAGGAGCTGCCGGGTCCCCGCGAGCGCTCCCCAGCGCTCCCCTGGCGCCGCGGGCCCGGGGGGAGCGGGGCGGAGGGGCGGTTCGCCCAGTGCGCCTGGGTCGGTGCGGGCGCGGACTGGGAGCTATAGATTGCAACGTGAAGATGGCGGAGTCCGGGTTCTCTGGGAGCTCTCGGTCTCTCTATGGCTGGGGCTGCCTCTGTACAATGGGATAAAATTCAAGTTCAAGTGCGGACGTGACGTTTAATCTGCACTAGAGACAAAAAGACCCAGAGAGTCGGAGCACTGGGGGCGACTAGCGGTGGCTTTTTAACATTGTACCCTGCAAGAGAACAAGAAAGCACACACACACACACACACACACACACACACACACACAGAAAGACACTCGCGCGCGCGCGCACACACACACACATACATACACACTCGCCCGTGCGCACACCCGCGGCCCAGGCCGACCCCACGTGCAAAGCGCGTTTTTGTGCCTTCCTCCTCTCTCTGCGCACGGGAGGTGCAGAGCCCCCCCGCCCCGGCGGTGGGAAAGATATTTTTTTTTAAAAGCAAATCCTTCTTTACATCCCTCCTCCCCCTCCTGGGAACAGGACCCCCAGAGAAGGGGGGCGGGGTGCTGTGTGCATGGAGTAAATTGGATCAATGCAAGTCCCCACCCACCCAAAGGCTTATTTTGGCTTGGAAGGGGGGATTGTGGAAGGGGGTTCGGGGGCACATGGGGACTGGGGGAGAAGGCCAATTACTTCATCTCCCTGGAAAAGTAGCTGGATGGCTTGTACTTTTGTTTTATTGGGGATAGGGGTTAAAGTTCCAGAAAGTGTTTCCATTTAAATCCGCATTACAGACTCCGGGAGAAGGTGGACAATATTAAAGATACTGAGAGAAAGAGCAAATGAAGAGCACGTGGGGGGGGTGGGGGGCCGTGAGACCTTGTCAGGTTCCATGCCGGAAGAAGCGCTCACCCGCGTCTGTGCCCTCCCTCCACCCCACTCCACTCAGTCCCCGGGTTAAACACGCCCCCTCCCAACGCCAAGGTCTGTGGGAAGCGTGGGGGTGAGGGCAGGGGTGCTCCAAGTGGGCGGCGAACTTGTATTGTGCTGACCCAGAGGGAGGTGTGGTCGGATCGCGGCAGCTCCCGGGTGCGTGACCCCGGGTCCCTCCCAAACCTTGAGAATCAGTGCACCATGGAAGGGGCACCTCGGCCCCAGCCCGCGCTCCTCGGCCCAGGACAGGACACGAAATCGTCCACCAGACTGGGAAGGACGCAGCTGCCTCGTCAGCCGTTTGATCTGCAGCCGGCGAGGACGGGAGTTGTGGGGGCCTGTCTGTGGCCCGGGGACAAGGCCAGGCCGCGGTCCCGGTGGACACCCGCCCTGCCCTTCCCCAGACCGCGGCCTCCCGGGCTGGGCGCGCCACGCGGCTCGACCCTTTCCCTTGGCCTAAGCCCGGAGGCGGCCAGGGGGGTCGGGGCCTGGCTCGGGGCTGGGCTTCGCGGGCGAGCCAGAGACACCCGCCCCACCCCGGCCCCGGCCGCGCCGCCTCCGAGCGCGCCGCCTCCCTCAGGGCCCCCCCTCCAGGGGCACCTGGAGTTTTTGTTCGCCCCGAAGGTCTTGGGTGGGGCGCCCACACCACCAGCGCAGTGCTCCTGAGCAGGGACAGGGAGAGCTCCCTGCCCACCCCACCCCCCCCCAAAAAATAACAGCAATAAAATTGCCCCCACGTGCATCTCTGCGGACAGTGGGCAGCGGGGTCGTCGGAAGGGCCCGACAGGGTGGAGATGGGGGGTGGGAGGCTCGGGGCTCGCACCTCCCTTCCCGGGCTGCAGGCGGTTGCCCCCCACCATCCCCCCAGCCTCCACGTGGTCCAAAGTCCAAAAAAGCCATCTCCTCCCATCCTGCCCCACCGCGAAATCGTTCCAGCAAAGTGGTCTAAGTAAGAAAAAAGTGCCCACACGCACCTTCCATAAAGTTCTTAAGAAAACCATAAAACGTCCATCGCGACTCGCCCAGACTCTGAAGTTTGGAAGACCAATTAGTCTGCTCTTTCTGAGATGCGGCAGTGTGCAGCCCAGAGAGGGTTAGCGTCTCGCCCAAGGTCACACAGCGCGTGGGGGTCCAGGCTGGACTCACATCCCCGCGAGGTGCCTGCTGCCTCGCGCCGCCTACTGTCCGGGCCGAAATCCCAACACCCGCCCCCTCGCCCTCCGGGGTAGATTACAGGGAAGGGGAACCCCTCTGCGGTGAGGAAGAGTGGGCTTCCCCCTCCAGAAAGGGGGCCCCCTCTGCGGGCGCGCTCAGGTGCCCCGGCTGCAGCTGCCGGACTCAGGCGCGGCGGGGTGGCGGGGTCTGGGGAGGGGGCACCTCGCCCCACCCCCAGCAGGAAGTGGCGGGCAGGGGGCGGCGCGGGCCCCGGTGGCCAGGGAGC